AATTATTCCATTGAATTTTATGGCAATTATCAAATGCATGTTGACAAATGTGTGATTTATGATATTCTCTGCTTTTATGTATGATTGGTGTCCTTTGAGTCTTTTGTGTAACGGTCTTGAGGTTTCTCCTATATAAAATTTATTGCATTCGCAAGGAATTTTATAAATTACATTTTTTGTATTTTCAATTATATCATGAGGTTTTGTTATTGAAATTTTACTTCTAATTGTATTTTCAGTTTTGAAGATAGTCCTAATATTAAATTTTTTACCTACTCGTTTAATTTGATCTGAWAGTCCCGGAATAAATGGAATGAAAAGGTTCGTAATAGGTTTATTTTGATTTTGTTTTGTTCGTGGGAATTCTATTTCGTTAAAACATTTTTCAATTTTATTGCGAAACAGGAGCACTAATTATCAATCTGTAATAAAAGACGTGAGGAAATTCTGTCTTTTTTAGACAAAAATTTTTGAGGCGAAATACCCAAAAAGAAGTTTGTAAAAAATGAATCCGCCTCAACAATATAGAACTTATCTAAATATCGAACCATCAACTTTTCTGATTGGTGTTTTTTTGGTGAGTATTTCGACCACTTTTCTATAAAATAACAAAAAATGCACACAGGCAAAAAGCGCATGTTGCCAAGTTTCCCCCGAGGTGGCAAAAGTAGCAGCTTTCACACAAAAAGCGAATTTTGGTCTGGTGCATTTAGGTGCAAGATTGTATAGAGCACGCAATGACGGGAAAACGTTAACAGTTTTCTCGAAACAGTTTAAATAAACTCAAGAAACCCTTTTTTGACGTTTCACGAACTCAGTTTTCACTCACTCTCAGTTATACAGAGTTACTCACTTTCCTCAGTTAAGTAAGTCACTCACTATCAGTTATAAAAATAGAAGTGAGTGAAGTGTGGGATTTTTTAGACAAAAATCGAAATTTGAATCGCACATTTAGGGGGTGCAAGTTTGGGGCACAATTTCATGTTTTCCGACTGTTTTTTGGTTGGAACAGGTTGATTTAGAGCGCTTTTTTTACATCACTGGATAGAGCAGTAATTGACGCTTCCAGGAAGAAACTTCCAAGCTTCCAAATCGCTTGCAAAATGTTAACAGTATTCTGAAGCAAGTAGAAATTTTAAGAAACGTATTGCACATCTATAGTTTGTTCCAAGCTATTTGGCAGTGACGTCAGTCAATCGAAAAACTTTGTTTCACTTCGCGTCGCTGCCAGCTTGAGCGTTTGTACTCGGTGATTTGTTTTGGTTCAATCAGATATTATTTCAGAATTTGTTAAATTTCGGAATCTGGTATAAACGAAATGTAGATTTGGCAAATGCGCGAAAATGTCCAGCCTTGTTAACCGCGACAACGGTGTCTTTTGTCATCTGATGAAAAATTAGTCAATTTCAAAGAGCGAAAAATGGTCGGAAACGGAATTTTGGCAAAAAAATGTTGGCCTGGGTAACTCAGTGAATGTTTAGGAGTTGGCGCAGTGCCACGCAAATGGCTTGGTGCGCCAACCCTACGCTCCGGCGCAGTGACTCAGTTCCGTTGCTGGAAAAATGTTGATGACCTTTTTTTAGATTTATTTTAAAGGCCATTTATTAATAGTATTTTTAAAATCTCTTCAAATTTCAGAATTTTTCAGTTTTAGCCAAGTTACTCTGTCTTCTAAATGCTCAATTTTCTAAAGTTTCACTTAAAAATGCTGACAATCTTTCCGATCTTTCTTTCTTTTCAAAAAGGTATTTTCCGCGAAAAAATATGAAATAAATTTCGAATCCTTCGTCGCTTTGTAAAAAGTTTTGAAATCCCTGTCCAGCTTCGAATTTGGAACAAAAATCAAACAATTTTCGATCAAAAAATTAACAGAATAAGCGAGAGTTTATAACAGATTATTTGGAAATCTCGTCACTTTCATTCATCTGAAGACTGCAGAATTTGTTAAAAAAAATGTGGTTTTTAGTTTTTACTGAATTTTTTTTGCTTTACTTTCTACTCAAAAACGCTCTATTTTGT